TTTTTCATAATAAAAGATTTTAAAGCAGTAATTGTAAAAGTGTGAAGATTAAAAGGTCGATGCCCACATCAGCCCCATCATCACCTGACAGCTCACAGCCTCATTCCCCAGGTGCTGCTCAGACAAACGCAAATGCTTTATCAATCTTTTTAGTAGATTTCTCTCAAAGGTCCCTTTAAAAAACCAAACAGGCCAGGCATGGTGGCTCACGCCTATAATTCCCAACACTGGGGAGGCCGAGGTGGGTGGATCACCTGAGCTCATGGGTCTGAGACCAGCCTGAGCCAGCGTGAGACCTCATCTCTAAAAACAGCCAGGTGTTGTAGCAGGTGCCTGTAGTCCCACCTACTTGGGAGGTTGAGGCAAGAGAATTGCTTGAGCCCAAGAGTTTAAGGTTGCTATGAGTTATGACGCCATGGCATTTTACCAAGGGTGATAAAGTGAGATTCTGTTTCCAAAAAAAAAAGAAAGAAAAGAAAACAAACCATGATGCCATTACGCCATTACCCTAACTAAAAATTTAAGGGTACTTTCTTAACATCAAATATGCAATCACTGTTCACATTTTCCAGTCCTTTCAGAAATCTCTCAAGGCAGAGTGCCCTCAGCACTCCCTGTCCCCGAGGACACCCCCCTCCCACCAAGCTGGAGGTCACTGGCACCTCCCAACATGACCAGGCAGGGACACCGCACAGGGCACTGGGACTTCCAACAGGTGTAGCCTATCAGACCCATTGGCTCTGACTGCCATGCCACATTCAGACTGTCCTATCTGTGGCTGGGTGCTTTCCAAGGGGCATCTGGCAACAGTTCCAGCTGGGCATCATGAGCAAATGAGCCAGGCTGGGCACACTGCCTAGGTCTCTAGCTTCAGACCTGTAAGCAGCCATGTGCCACGAAGCCAAGTCCCCTCAGGGCTTCCAACTCCTGGGCTGGCCATAACTGTCACTTTCTTAATCGAGATCCCTCAGTCTGGGTATTGGCTGTGCCTCTAGGCATGACTTCCACCCAGACTCTGAAGGACCTGTCTGGAGGGGCCAGGGGCACCAGCCCTGCTTCCACTTGGGTGCTGTCGCTCACCTCCTAATGTCCAGCCAGACCCACGCCTTTCACATGTGCTTTAGGTGGTACTTGTGAAAACCAGGAGGCTGTCCAGATGCTAACCCAAGACGGGAAAGCTGGGGGCAGGCAGCAGGAAAGCGGTGCCTTCAAGGAGGGGGAGGTAAAGCTGCAGCTGTCAGTGCCCAGCAGCACTGTGGCCAGGGGCCAGGAGGGAATCGTGAGCTGCGCCACAGCGCAGACACCAGAGGACAGGCCAGACAGGAGGGCCGAGGAAGGAGGCCGACCTTGTAGTGCCCATTGTTGGCGGCGTCATGCAGGGGGGTGTCATCATCCAGGCCCTTGGTGTTCACCTCCGCACCGGCGGCCAGCAGCTGCTTCGCGACGTCATAGTAGCCCCGGTTACACGCCTCATGCAGCGCAGTCCAGCCTGGAAGCAGACACTCAGGACATACATTATTGAATCCTCAAGAAACTTACTCCTGTCTCTTGAGGCAGGGCCCTGAGGTTGTGTGGAATGACCAGGACTGAGGCAGGGAGTGGGGGGAGCTGCCCAGCAGAAGAGCCACAGCCCAGGTGCCAACCCAGGGAAGGCCTTAATGTCCTTCACAGCAGCACCTGCTAGCACAGTAAGTACCTAGCTTGTGAACCCTTCAGATTAATAGCCTATAAGGACCAGTTGCATTAATAACCCAGTGAGGTAGGGAACGGTGAACACACAGTGTAACTGATAGGGGCCACATCCCTGGTCAGTAACCAGTGCATGCAAAGGACCCTGCCCCACCCTCCAGAAAAGGGAAGCCGAGGCTGATTCAGTGTATGCTGACCCTGCCTCAGATGGAGGGGCTATGCTCCAGGGTGCTGATTGCTTAGCCCCACGAAGCCAACATCAAGACTTTGGAAACACTTCATTTACAAAAACTGCTTTATGGGCGGCACCTGTGGCTCAAAGGAGTAGGGCATCGGCCCCATATGCCAGAGGTGGCAGGTTCAAACCCAGTCCTGGCCAAAAAAAATACTGCAAAAAAAAACTGCTTTACAAAAAATGGGGCTAAATTTGTATAATTAAGACAGCTATAAACCAGGGCAGTAAGGAAAACCTAGAAGCTTCTAGATGAAAGCCATTTCCTTGTTTCTGTTCATTGTACTGTGAACAGACTGCTCTGGAGCAGGTAGGCAATGGGCACCGTGTAGGCCTCCAAACCCACAGCAGCCCTTGGCCTCCATCAGTGCTAGGATGGCCTGGCCATCTGTGTTGCCATTTAAAAGGTGAGTTAAGGCGGCGCCTGTGGCTCAGTGAGTAAGGCGCCAACCCCATATATCAAGGGTGGCGGGTTCAAACCCAGCCCTGGCCAAAATGCAACAGCAACAAAAAAATAGCCAAGCGTTGCAGTGGACGCCTGTAGTCCCAGCTACTCGGAAGGCTGAGGCAAGACAATCACCTGAGCCCAGGAGTTGGAGGTTGCTGTGAGCTGTGTGATGCCATGGCACTCTACCAAGGGTGATAAAGTGAGACTCTGTCTCTTTTAAAAAAAAAAAAAAGGTGAGTTACCATTTTGGTTCATCTCCTGAGCAAAGCTCTGGGCCAAAGTGCCCTGCTGGGCCGTGGTGTGCCAGGGACACAGCTACAGTCCAGCCCAGCAGAGATAAGACCCTCCCTATAGAGATAAGGCATTGGCTTTTCCTAAAACCACAAAAGAATTTTAATTCCTTAGTTCCCTTGAAAATAATGAAAAACAAGAATTATTTATAATTACATGGGGTCTGCATGAGGCAGTCCCATCTACACACCTGCCCACACAGCCCTGGGCCTGGAGAGCAGGATGCACCCCGCCTCAAGGTAAGGCACTCACCTGCGAAGTCCTTCACGTTGACATCAGCACCCTCGCTGATGAGCTCCTTGATGCGCCGGGCGTCCCCCCGGATGGCGGCTCGGTGCAGGCGGGTCTCCCCCCGCTCGTTCCTCTTGTTCACCTTGTCTTTGGTCTTGGAGGCAGAGCTGGGTGTCCCCTTCTGACACACTGCAGACTGGGAGGGGTGCTTTGGTGTTGTGTCTACTGCAGGCCAAGGAGGGGACAGGGGGTGTCACCAGAGTTGGCTGCATAGAAAGCTCAACAACTGGGCCATTTTCAGGAGATGAAGGGGCTGCTTTTGCCCAAGGTCTCACCCTGGGAGCACGGTGTCCCCAGGGACCACAATGTTCCTGTGGGGGGCACAGTACAGTAGCACTGATCAAGCAGAGCCCCTCCCAGCCCTACTCCCCAGCTCACCTGGGCTGTTGGCAGACTCCTCTGCTGTCATCTGCATGAGAAGAGCCACCTGCTGGCGCTCAGAGAGCGGGTAGCCTGCTCTGATCCCCGACAGCCCCATGCCAAACAGCAGCCCGGACTTCCGGGTGACCGGCTCCTTCTTAATCCGCTTCCTCTCAGGACCCTGCTTTTCTGTGAGGTGGGTGAAGGAGAGAGGGGGGGGCAAATTTCGTGCCACGAGTCCTCAGAACCCAGGTCCTTACCTAAGGGTAGGCGCCCTGTATCCATCTGACAGGTCGCGGAGCACAGAGGAAGGCCTGTGAGAGGGGAAGAGCACAGCAGTGCTGGGCATGAAGCTGCCCACCGTGACAGACGGTGACACTTGTCACCAGCCTGGCAAGTCGGCTACTTGGGGCCTCCACCAACTGCTGGCTCACTCCAGCACCTCTCCAGACCTCACACCACACACAAAAGCGGTGCGACAGCTTAGCACTGATGACCTGCTTGCACAGGTCTCTGTGAACACGCATGTCTGTGATTAAATTCCACCTTCCCCATCCCTCCTCCAAACCAACAGTGCAGATATACAGAATGGCAGACACAGTTTAAAATACATAAATAAATCAAGGCCAACTTGTCAGTACCGTACCTTTCTTCTTGCTTCTAGGAACCTCCATTTCATGCCATGGTGCTTCGAGGGGCGCACCAGCCTTGCAGTACCACAGCATGGACTGAGCTGGAGGCATCTAAAGGCATCAACACAGAGCACTAACCAGACACGGTGTGACAGCTGCACTTTGTTCAGCCTCCTCACAATAAGCACATCCTAGCTCCTCTCCCTGTCACAGAGCGCCCTGCGGCCTCTGACAGAAACACTATGTGAGCTGCTCTGAGAGGCAGGGTGGGGAGAAAAGACACCCAGGCATCCGGGTCAGGATCATGGCTGCCGCAACCTCTCCTCTGCCCTTGTAGGTGCCTCCTGGTGACACCATCAGGGACCAGGCACTCTGAATCTTCCTCCAAATTGCCCGTGGCCTGGGTGGAAGCCCACAGGGCCGAGATGGCTTTAGGGTGCTCTGGGTCATGGGGTGCTAACTGCAGACGTGAGGCTCAGGGGGAAGGTCATCTTGGGAGATACAGGCCTCTCTAAGTTCCCTGGGAGGTTTCCCCTTCATTTCCCCTCAACACAGCCAAGAAGCCCTCTAGTCAGGATGTAACTAGTCCCTCGGGTGGCATCTAACCCTAGCAAGGGGGGTGACTCAGCAGGTCACACGCCAGCCTGGTAAGAGAGACACCGGCCTCCAGCACTAGCCCTGCCGCGCTCCTGGGACAAGGCCCCTCACTGTTCCCCACAGGCTCTGTGTGTAATGTGCTGAGGACACTGCCCTGCATGTTTTACACTGACAAGCCTACAGGCAGGAGAAAGCCTCCCTGCATCTATCGGCTCCACCACACACGAGTGAGATCCCCAAATGCTGCAGGCTGACACAGCCAGCTGACTTTTAATCCATGATGCACAGATCTGAGAAAGGAAAAAAATTCCAAAAACAACTTGAACTGTGGTGCTGGCTCCTCCTACTACCTATAAGCTGTCAATCGCAGTGGTGATAGAATAGTCCTACTGCCCCCTGGCTGGCAAGTCCCAGCCTCAAGTCTACAAGTGACCTGGAGCTGGCAGATAGCACAGCTCAGACCAGTAGCTCCAGGGAACTGACCACACTTCAGAAGGGCACCTGGGCCCTACTGCTGGGCGGGGCCCTGTATTTACTGGTCTCTGCATGTCCTTGCACCCCTACTCACACCTCTCTCCTCTGATGCCCCTGCTGTCCATGGCATTATCTACATGGGACAGAGTGGGAGGGGTTGAGGCTGCAGAGGGGCCCTGTGCCTGGGAACTTCTAGCCCCACCAGCTTCCACACAGTGCCCACGGGTCCTCTTCTCTCCACCATTCCCAGAATCCCCCAGGAGGCCAGGACCTTCTTCGAGGTCCGTATGCTGACTGAGCACAGATGGTTTAGGAGACCTTCCCCTGCCCCCCAGAGCAGTGGGGTCTAAAGCTTTGGACACAGAGAACAGCAGGGCCAGGCTGGATGTGCTCAGGTCTCCAGAGTCACACATGACCATGTTTTCTCAGTACTGAGGGACCCTGGCAAGACTGTGCTGCCAGGGGATGCTCTGCAGTGGTTAGTCTGAGACTAGGAGGCAGTGGGAAGCACGAGGGCTCTTTTGCACAGTCCTGCGAGTGGCCCCAGGCACCCAGGCCTGTCTCTGGTGTTAGTTATGAGCAGACCGAGGAGCAGGGATGCATCCCTCCTGTAGCCCATCAGCTACCTCAGGGAAGGACTGAGTTTCCTCCACTGTGGCAGGGACATGGAGGGAAAGAGTGGACCCCATCCAGAGCCCCACATGGGGACCTAAGTCTGCCCACACTCAGGAAGAGCAAACTTCTCACACCCTCTCCCTGGCATGAACCAGAACATTTCACTTGTCCTAACACAAAGAAAGAATCCAACATGAACTCAAAACTATGGAGACTCCTGTTTCTCCAAAATAAATAGTGACAAGCCCCTCCCAGGTAGGAGACGCACACGGATGCTTCCCTCACCCCCCCAAGAGCAGGGGCACGGCCCAGCCGAGAGAGGCACCAGAGAGCCCACAGCCCATGGCTCTGACCCTCCATCATGGAGCTTATGCAGGGTACCTGCCACGTTCCAGGGCCTCAGAGCTGCAGGACCAGGTAAGAAAGACCCAAGGTGTGCTTCAGCTAGCACTGTGCATGTGTCTACTGATAAAAGTGGATGGGGAGCCGCTCAGAACTACCACTTGGGACAACTACCAAGTGCCTGTTATTAAAAGGGAAGCAAAGTAAACTTTATTACTTCAAGTATCCCAAATGGTCTATGCCAAGTTGAACAGTGAAAGGGGGCAGGCACAAGAATCTGAGTCTGTATTGAACCATACGATGTGTTTTGAGGGTGCCTCTGACCACCAGGGCCCCCTCAAAGCATATCCTACAGTCTGAACAAGGCTTGCAGGCTCTGGGGGCTTCCTGGGTGATGGCAGCATGGGGTCCAGAGCAAGGCTCTTCTGGCCAAGCGTGTCTGCTGTCGTCCACAGCATACAGATGTCTGCTGCAACACTTTCATCAGGCTGGCACAAGCCCAGCCAGCTACACCCTGCATTAAGAAACAAGGCTTGTGTCTCCTGGAGCACACAGGCACCTGCTGGCTTGCTGTGAAGTCAGCAGCCAAGTGTAGTCACCAGCCTCCAGGCACCCTCCTCCTTCCCACCGCCCAGCACTCTGCTGTATAGGCTCTCCCTGGAGTGTGGGAGCTGAAGCCCACTTCTGTCATGTGTCCATCAGAAAACAGGCTTTCCTAAGTAGCAGTGCCTTCTGGCAGCAAGGAGACCATGTGTGGCCTCTGGGCTCCTGTAGCCCTGGGTAGAGCAGCAGCAGTGCTGGCTTCCCCATTTGGGGGGGTGGGCAGGGCCATTCATGCCCAATACCGTCGTGCAGGCACTGTCTTCTCTGCTTGGCTACTTTTAACATCATCTCTGCTATCACTTCACAACAAGGTGCTCATATGTGTAGCTGTTCTTCCTTTCCCTGTTTCTAATTCCTTATGCTTCCCAAACTTGAGGACTTATATTTCCACACATCTTGAAGTCCTCAGTTATCCCCTGGTGTCATGTTCTTATCCAGCCACCTCCAAAACTCCCACCTTTCTGTGCTTCAGTCTGAGCAGCTCCTGTCGTGAGAACTTTCAGTTCACTAATTTTCTTATGTTCCAGCTAATGAACTATATAATCTGTCCACTGAGTTAAGTTTAGCGATTATAATTTTCTTCTTATTTTTTTGGAGACAGAGCCTCAAGTTGTCACCCTCAGTAGAGTGCCATACTGTCACAGCTCACAGCAATCTCCAACTCCTAGGCTTAAGCAATTCTCTTGCCTCAGCCTCCCAGTAGCTGGGACTATAGGCGCCCGCCACAACACCTAGGTATTTTTTGGTTGCAGTTGTCACTGTTGTTTAGCTGGCCTGGACCAGTTTCAAACCCACCACCCTTGATGTATGTGGCCAATGCCCTGCTGACTGAGCTCTAGGCGCCACCCAGGGATTATAATTTTCATTTCGAGGTATTCCACTTGATATTTCTTAAACACCCACATAATCTTCTTTGACAATCCTTTCTGTTTCTTGCTTGTATTTTTCTCTCATTATGTTCTCCTGATTTATACTAAACATCTGACCATTCCAATATGGAGATCCTGGGGCTGACCCCTGTTGACCTTTACAGGATGGCTTTTTTCCTATGACCTATCTTCCAGATGATCTGCTTTTGCTTTGCTTATGGCCTCAGGGACTGTGTGACATCCCAACAGCACAAAGTATGACAATTCTGATAGAGGCTAAGTCTCTCTGGGGCGGTCTCTCAAAGCCCCTCCTCCTTCTCAGCGCCTGACAACCCCTGGGCCTCTTGAGGGGCCCAGGACCTCACCCAGTAGCTCCCCAGCAGCCCTCAGGCCTAGCTCCAAGGCAGAGACACGCACAGCCCTGGGCCCTGGGGATGACTGCTATTGGCATCGCTGACATAGCATAGGCCCAAGATCGACCAAAGGGCTCCACCCCACCCTCAGCACTGTGGAATCCTGCCCACTGCCATCACCTTCATGGCTTTGAAGCCTCATGAGGACTCTCAAAAGCACAAATAACGTCACTGCCCACAACTGTGAGGATGGGCCTCCAGCCCCCGGAAGCTGCCCACATCTCTCTCCCCCCAGGCAAGGATGGCACTGAAATAGCTGCTTGAGGTAGGTGGGCCTGGGTTGGCCCTGCTCTCCAGCCTGCTGGGGCAGTCTGAGCACCCAGCAACCGCATTGGGGGAGGGTCTATCCACACCCTCCTCCCTATAGGCCGTGTGGATGCTGCTACCCTGACCCATAGAGTCTCCTGCAAACACTGGTCCTGGGAACCTCGGGGGCCCATCCTGCCATGTTATGCTGACACCCACCTTGACCTCTCTCTGGCTAAGTGCCCCTCTGAGAGGCCCTCAGGGAGATGCAGCACAAGCTTCCCTTTGTGCAAGAAGAAACTGTCCAGAGAAGAAAATGGCTGTTGAAAAACAGGAATTCTTTTTTATTTTTATTTTTTGAGACGGAGTCTCACTTTGTCGCTCCTGGTAGAGAGCCGTGCCATCATAGCTCACAGCAACCTCAGACTTTTCGGCTCAAGTTAGGCAATCCACCAGCCTCAAGCACTCCCGGAGTGCTGAGATTATAGGCATGAGCCACCCATACCTGGCTAGAAACAGGAATTCTTAATTATCTGAGAATATCTTTCTGGGATGTGCTTCCCAAGTGCAGGTGACCCTAAGAGCTGAGCCATCAAGTCCAGGCCTCCCTGCTGCTGGACATCTCCCTGTGGGCACTCTGGCTCTTTCCCAACCACCACCCAAACTTTTCTGCACAGTGGACTTTGTCTCCTTCAGATACGGACCCTTCTCTCACAAGCTCTCAGGAAGAGTGGCAGCCCCAGCCCCAGCCCTACCCAACACCAGCCAGTCAGGGCCAGCCAATCTCCTGCAGAGGTCCAGGGTCAGGAGTCAGCAGGAAGTATGAGGAATGGCTTGCCTGTGTTTCTGGGAAAGAAGATGACGAAGAAGTGGGGGTTTCACCCTCAAGGGCAGGAGCTGGGCAAATGAAGCTTGGGGAGGGGCTACAACTGACTCCCTGCTGCCTGAGTTCAGCTCCTTGCTGCTGTGTGTGGCTCATGTCCCCCATGCACCCTGTCCTGGGACCATGATCAGGCTGCACGGTCTGACCCAGCCAGAGGGTCACAGGTACCGTCCTGGGATTGTGAGTCAGCTCTTTGCCCACTAGGGTCCAGCAGACACTGCAGAGCAGATGAAGGGCTCACTGTCTGACAAAGCCTCCTCATCTTCACACTGGTTAACACTGACACCCAGCAGGGCCCAGAGCTGAGGACTCCAGGAGGTGCTGGGAGCCTAGGGCAGAGCCGCCCTGCCCTTTCAGGACCACAGCCCCAGACAGGAGACACCACAATAGCCTGTTCTCAGCTTCGAAACCAAGAGTGGCCTTAACTTCAGGTCATCAGGGAGTGTCTCAACACACAGTCCTGAATGAACGTGAGCTGCAAGTCAGCGCTGCTAAATGAACACCCAGACCCCAGAGATGAGAAACTTACTCACAAAGTAAAAGCCAAGCCAAGAGGTCTCAGTGCTTCCCCTTATTCCAAAGGAGTTGAGGGTGAGCTACTGCCAAGTCACAATGCCCCCCTTGACTAGGGGCTCTCTGAGGGTCCCAACTGGCCACCCAAGGACAGGCAGAGCCCACCTGGGGGTCTCAGGTAGAAAGAAGATGACTCAGATCCATTGATGGAGCTGTGGGAAAATACATGATGAAGCTGGGGGCTTTTGCAGGAGTCCTGGAGAAATGAACAGAATCTAAACCAGCTTCAACCACATTCATTCATAGAC